ACGAAGGCTCACGTAAAATCAACGTAAGAAAGACACCTCCGGTGGGGCTCGAACCTGGTACTGTTTTAGAAAGCAGTCTCATAGGTTACACTATGTTGCTGTAAAGAAATATATGGGCATAGACCAGGGTGTCTAGTAACCAGGAAACCCGAGAATGGTCAGGGAAATTTTAATTACCAGGAAAAATCAGGGAATTGTGAGGGAAATTGTCAGAGCGAGCCCAGTCAGGGAAAATGAGCCGGAAACGCCATCGAGTGCCCTGAGCAAAGACTTGAGGACTTGAGGGCAGAAATATAGGCAATACATTCTGCTCAGATTGGAGCGCAGGCTCTGCCTACCCTATGTAGAGTGTGCTACCCGATGCAAAGGGAGCAGCCAACAAATCCAGTCCAAGCCTAGCCTAGCCTTGGATTGGATTGGATTGGATTGAGGGCTTTACACTAGGCTGGATGCAGTTAAACCTACTAGCTTTAGTAACAAATGGGAAAGCCGCAGACCTCAATCCAAGCCTTAAGCCGCAAGTCTCCGAAAGTGTGGATCTGGCGGCCATGCCAGCCATGCCAGCATTCGGTTATTGACGTGTGTGGTTGAGCGTCGTGTTTTCATCGTGCTTCCGGATGTGGCCTCTTCACTGACGATGTCGGCGGCTAGAAAGTGCTTGTTTAATCCAGGCTGGACGAACAGGAATATTTTGCAATAGGAAGCGAGCAAGCCGGCCGTGTCGCGGCGGTCGCCTATTGTTCGCCGCGACCTAGCGGTAGCCGCCGCAGGAGCATCGGGGAGCAATGGCGACGAACAGCACGGCGGGCAGTGTCCCCGTCGTGATTACGAAGGAATTTAAGGCAGTTACGAATTCGGAAAGTTCCTTCGGTAGCCGGTGCCGTCGGCGCAGAATTATCGGGAAGTAATAGCAACGAACACCACAGAGGACAGTGGGCGATTACGAATCCGGAAAGCTTCTTCGGTAGCCGGTGCAGAATCATCGGGTGGAAGCAATGGCGACTAGCAGCACAGCGGACAGTGTTCCCGGGGTGATTACGACGGGGTTTAAGGCGGTTACGAATCCAGAAAGCTTCGTCCGTGATACCAATATGAAGAAGGGAAAACTCCTTCGTGAATCTGGCCGCGTGTACGACGTGGAGGAGGTCCGTTTCGACGGACAAGTGGATGTCACGGAGCGCCGTACTCCGCTAACAAAATTAAGCGCGCCCGAAAAAGATGTAGTTGGCGTTGAGTGGACTGTGGTAAATATGTACGTTTATTTCTGAACCAGCTTGACAATAACTGGGCGATTTTTTTCGCGCCGTTCCGCGATTCCCACTACTATCTTCCTGTAGGCTGATGGAAACATCCAAGGGTAGGCTTAGGTAGGCGACCGCATTCCGCTTCTCGATTCCGGTGAAGTATTTGCTGCATACTTTAGAGTTTGCCGTCGGTGTCGATGCTGTTCCATCGTCGCTAGAATAGAAAAAAAGTTAATTGTATTATTCGTCAGCAGCTTAAACAAAGCGCGAACTGGAAGGTAAGAAATGCCACTAACCTGTATGAACGCACAAGTCGCACCCAGATCGCGCAGTACTCCGCCTCGTACGGCTTCGAAGGGATGATGTAGTACTACGTGCCGTGCGCGATCTTCGACGTACTGTTGCAGCCGACCACGCAGCAATTGCTGCGGCTTTCTTGGTGCGGAATAGCCATCTCAGAAATTACAGCGCTAACCCACTACAACGCACAATCAACGCAGCGACTGGCAGAAGCTTCCCGATGCAATGGACCCGTTTGCCGGTAGGGGCGCCCTGGTCGGGGCTTGAATTAGATGCGCACGGTTCCTATATGCAAGTTGGATTAAGCCCATGCAAAATGACCCTCACAGTGCTCAATGCTCAATGTCTTGTGTTGTAATGGTCTTTATATATTTAACCGCCTGTACAGTGGTCAGGGAATTTCACCGAAAATTGTCAGGGAAAACATGAAAAAGTCGGGGAATTTCAAAATATTAATTTGCTAGACACCCTGATAGACATTTGTGCGACTAAATTTGCAAATCGTACAAAGAGAAATGTTTGTGAATAGCGACGAGGAAGTTCGCACGAAAATAATGCACAAGTCGGTTAAAGGGTAACTGCTCAATTTCAAAGATTTCAGGATAATAAGTGATTTCGCAGTAAAAAGCCCTAGTAAAAGACACTACGTCATTTGCTTCGGGAAAAATGGCATCTATATTTTTTAATTTCATTTTAAGCTCGAGCAGAAATCGAAACCAAAACTCTGGCTCTATCCGGCAACATTGGCTTCTGGCCACCAAGAACACGGCTATCTTGTGGTACGAGATGTCACGTGATCCTCTACGCCAGTGGTTCTCGGACTCTTTGGGGTACACGAAAGCATTCCAGAGGTCCGCGAAGCGATGCCTCTACAGTCAAACCCGGCAATAAAAGTTGCCTTTTTTCATATTTAGAAAAAACATTCCCGTTTTCAGCAGAGTTTTCACGTGTGTATGTCAGTGTGAGATGCCTGCTTCAGATAGCCCTTTTGTTATATCCAATTATTAAGTCATTATTATAATTAACCTATACTTTTTCCTTCCCCTCACCACGAACGGGCCCTCCATCATCTCCACCAATTCACAAGGGTCCGTGAAACATAATAGTTGAGAAACACTGCTCTGCGCAACGACGGGCGAGATTGGGGTGGGCGTGTGCCAGGCGCAAGTATCGTCTGCACTGCACTTTTCACCACGTTTTGATGTCTACGACATTCAACGACATCTGCACAACTGCAGCATAAGTCTGCGCACGTGGTGTCCGTAGTGTGAACGAAACTCCGAGAGACAAAATAATCACAAACAGTGAGACTACGATGGTGGTTTTGATGCGAGAGACGGTGGTAGCGGCGGGACCACGGCGGGGCGGCCAGACGGTTCCCAAGAAGTGCGCTGCGCAGGCGCGTTAGGCCAATCACATGGAAACCGCTGAGTGCCAAGAGGAAACATTGCTGACGTAACCCATTATGTTTGCCCGGAGAAGTAAAAACAAGCAAAAAGGCTCACGTTTAGCTCAATGTTGGCTCTGCCCACGACGTAGCCTCGACTGCGCTGTTGGTTGCGCCTCGATTCGCCCGCTCGAGTCAGCCGTTTTTGGCAACTGGGCGAGTTGCAAAGTTGGCCGGACCGTTTAGGAAACATTGAGACAAAACTATGTCGTAATATTTGACATGTGGTCTTCCTACGTGTTACTGAAGAGGACTGGATTGTATTTTCAAAAACAGAAATGAAGCAGAGTTGCCCTTGAATTTTACGACGTCATTCGGCAGAGAATTCGAGTTGTGTATCGTCCTCGGGAACAAGGGAAGTTTAAACAAACCTATCTTGCTGACACACTCGGACAGTGCCATGTTGTTCCATGTCCTAGAGGTGTAATGCGGAGGAGGGTGGCGGCAAACATACTTTGTTTTTTCAAAGTTAAAACATTTTCTTTTTATAAATTACGGCAAACAAGAATTTCAGCTTATCGAGCCTACGCCAAACTTCCAAGCGTCGAAGACCAAAGCGTACAGTATACGGAGCACAGATTTTGGTTACCCAGAGTTGCGTCTCATTGTGGCACGGTCACACACTACTGTGTGAAGAGGCTTACATACTTAAAAACTCTATTCAAACATTTAATGTAAAATGTTTTATGGGTCGTTTTCTGTGAGAAAATTGCCACGAACGAGCATCACAAACAAAACATTGGGAGCGTCACACGACATTATGCTTATATATAAAGCTTACGAAGGCCCTCGTAAAGTCAACATAAAGAAAGACGCCCCCAGCGGGGCTCGAACATGGGTCTGTGCAGTGGCAGTCGGATACTATTGAGGAGGAGATCTGACCGTGGCGCCCCAAGCAGCTAACTTTAGAACTGCACGGATGGGGGCAGGAAGCTGCGTCAGCGTTCGTCTGGTGTTCATGTTCTCTGGTCGCCCGAGGGAAGGGAGGAGCTTTTTTGTTACCACTCCGGCCTGCGTGAACAATGCAGCATGCACGGTGCATATGCCCGGCTAAGCACAGAAGCCAGAGTGGGTCAAGCTTGCATTCTCTGATGGCAGCTTTCGGGAGAGATTCGGAACTAACAATAGACGTCACTTGGTTTATTGTTGGTATTTTTATTTTACACTGTGTCCCGTGCTCTATTGAAGATGACGACGTGGACATACCCACAAGGCCTGTGGGCATGTCCGCAGACATTTGCGTTGGGTAAGCACCGACGTGTGGGGACGACAAACGAGTAAGAGCGCTCTCCTCGCCAATAGCTGTTCTGGAAGGGTAAGCGGTTTTGTTTGAATGCAAACGTTCAGGCGAGATTGGCACGTTTTGATTGAAGATAGTAAATGTAGTAAGTAAAAATGATTGAATAAAAAGTGAAAGCCGTTTGCAACTCCCTGTAACGCCGAATTGGAGCACAGCTCTTGAGGAGGAGGAGGAGTGAAGGGTACTGAGGGGAGGGTAGACCCCTCCTCCTCCTCCTCCTCCCCTCATTCTTTAATATGCTCCGGGGGGGGGGGGGGTCACGTGACCTCGGGGAAAGGGGTCTTGTGACCTCGGGGAGGCGTGACCTGGGGGGTCACCTTGGGGGTCACGTGACCTTGAGGTGACCTTGGGAGGGGTCACGTGACCTTAGGGAGGGGGTCACGTGACCTGGGGTCACCTTGGGGGTCATGTGACCTGGGGTCACCTTGGGGGTCATGTGACCTTGAGGTGACCTTGGGAGGGGTCACGTGACCTTGTTGTGACCTTGGGATGACCTTTGTTACACCGACGGCGACGCCGCTCAAGCCGGAAACGGGCGCCTAAGAGCTGCGCTCTGAAAATATAAAATAAAAAGAAGGAAAAATTTAGCACAAACCATACACAGACTGTGGTTTGTCCAGGACACATTCTGTGTCCCCCTGGTCATGTGGAGCACGACGAAGCTTTTACAATCTCCAAAAGACGCTCGCATGCTTTTCTGGGTGCCCAGGTGCCCAAGGACCTGTCCAAGGTGAGCCCCGGCCAGACACCCATCCCGGACCTGGCCCACTTTGTGCTGGGCCTGGAGAGCTGCTCCCACCAGGACCCGGACTTCATTGCGTTCTGCGTGCTCAACATGATCATGGGCGGAGGGGGCTCCTTCTCTGCGGGGGGCCCCGGCAAGGGCATGTACACCCGCCTCTACACCAACGTCCTCAACCGGTGAGGAAACCCCTCCGTCTCCCCCTCATGGCAATGACGACAGGGGCGGAAAAAAGCCAAATGTTTTCGGAGCTGTATTGAAAGACCCCGAGTCATCGCCCACACCACTTTTTGGGCAAATACAGTAGACATTCAATTGAGCAAACTTCAAGGGACCCACGGAAATAGTTCGCTTGACTGAAAGTTCACTAAACTGAATATATTCACTAGAATATGGAACAGCAGGGGACACAGCATATGTCGAGTCAAAGGTGTGGAATGCAATGTATGGAGTCACATACACCGATATATACAAACTGCGTTGCTGCCTTTCCCATTTTGGAAAAAAAAAATATATATAATTTCTATTTGTATCGGCGTGCTTAAAGCGCTTGAAGTAACAAAGCTGTCCAAAGAGTGTTTTTTTTGCACTTCCTCTGGCACAGCTTCTTGCTGTGACGAAGCCATACGGCAATGGCATCATCCACTGGCTGGAAATATCCTGTGCAGAGTCATTTCCCGTTGGGATTGAACGCAGTTTCTCCCCCAAGCTTCGACTTTTGCTTCACTATTGTTGACAACGCCAACGGTGGAATCCCATAGTCCTTCGCAACGTCCACTTGCCTTTGACCGTTGTCCAGATGCTAAAGGATTTTGAGCTTGTCCAATAGAGACAACCGCTTCCGTTTCGTCGTACTCGTTACGAAAGTGGACGCACCAACTGCCATCCTGCCGCTGTTAGCCAAAACCAAGATGGCCGAACAAAACCGATGACAAAAAAAAACAAAAAAACAGACACACCACGTGGTTTGTTTTTGTCTACCGCACCGCCGCTTTGCCTCCGCAGTGCTGTAAATTACAGCGATGATAGGCCTCCGCTACAGAGGCAGCAGCAGCGGGGCGGCGGGCATTGGCTATGTTAGTACTGCAAAGCACAAAACTTCGTTGAACTGATTGCAAAAATAATCCTGGGTCCACCGATCAAGTTCGTTGAACTGAAATATTCGCTATTCCGAAATTCATTAATTCGTTTAAGGAGGGACGCAAGAATCGGATTGCAAAAGAATGTGAAAAGAAAAAACATTTTTTTTAGAAATGCAAAGCTTCGGCATCTTCGGTTCTTTATGTATGTGATTGCTAAGTTTTTTTATCTAAAAACAAATGACATTTATTTTTAATGATCAAGTATATCGGCGCAGGTAGCAAAAAAAGGACCTCATAAATGCGAGAAATGTGCACGTTTCAAGCCCTCGTATCTCCAAAACGGGGCGATGGGCGCGCCTTATGTCAACAATATGTTAAAATATCTCCTTCGTGTATTTTCTCGAATGTTGCAAAATCGAGGGTTGGGCAGTTATTGTTGAATGGGCGGATGCTCTGTCTTTTAGAATAGGTGCCTTGCCGAGTGATTGCTTGGCCGACGAGTGCAGACATGGTGGTATCAGATTTGGAAAGCTAAATAATTAATTGCTTCGAAACATACTTTTGGCTTGGAGTCCACAGGCTTATCTGGAGAATGATATGTTATCCTAAAACATGATTGACACTACATTCCCACCGAATTGATTGACTGGTTTATTGGTGTTTGCAACACATCTATATGGATGTCCCGCCTTCCATTCAAGGTATCACTGGATGTACAATGCCACAGCATACAACCATGCTTACGGAGATTCAGGCATCTTCTGTATCCACGCCAGTGCCGACCCATCGCAGGTGAGACTGTACTTTTATTTCTACATTTTTTTTATGTTTGGTAGTTGGAACTTCTGGGAAATCAGACTGATTTCGCTCGAGTTTGTGTTTAAGTTTATTCTATTGAAATGTTTGGGTGACTGGGTGATCATTAGGGGAGTATCACACTTACCTTAAAATTCCAATTGAATGCCCATTCATGGTGAAGAGAGAAATGGGGAGGAAATATGGGGTGGCCATCCTTGTGGATGCGACCGCAATGTTTTGTCAAAAATGGGCCACGTGACATTGCAACTGGTACCACAGATCGCAGACACAGAAAATCTGTGTTTCACGGTGCGCTCAGCATGTGGCAACTCACTACAATTTCACAGATTGCACATGTGGTGAAGTTGAGTTCTGTGGCGGAATAAACATGCGGGACCTTGCCATGAACTTTCGTGTCGTAGGAGCCGATACTACTGCTTGCGAATGCAGCAGATTTACGTTTCACGGTGTGACAGATGCACTGGAACCCACCGCAAACTCTCTTCTCACGGGTACCAATAGGTACCACAGATTGCACAATTGATGTGATTCCTGTCAAACATGTACAGTCTAAGCTCATTACAACAGACCTGGTTACAACAGACATTTGTATATAGCGTACCGATTTGTGAAATTCGGTTGGTTTTCCTCTGTGCGCCATTGACTCAACTTCATATCGGCAAACAACATACTCCTTTTACAAGAAACCAAAATCTTGGTCAAAATCAAGGTCTGTTATAACGGGCTTGGACTGTATATGCCGTAGAATACCGCGCATCCGCCCATTCAACACTAAGCATCCATTTCGAAATTTGCAACATTTGAGAAAATATGTACCTTAAAATACCGGGCAAGCGCCCACTCAAACTTTAGAGATAATCGCAGAAAAATGGGGGATGGGCACTTGTCCGGTCATCAGTTTTACATATAAATGTACTGTCCATATTTTCTCAGATCTTAAAAATTTGGTAATGGGCACTTAATGTGGAATGGGGCGGATGCGCGGTATTCTACGGTGCGATACATTTTAATGTAAAATTGATGACCAGACAAGCGCCCATTCCCCATTTTTTCGCGATTATCTCCAAATTTTAAGTGGGTGCATGCCCGGTATTTTACGGTTTATAGTACATATATATTTGCTTGTCAAATATTCTTGCGAAGAGCCAATAAAACACTAGCGCATTCAGTAGGGAAAGCAAACACGTGTGCAGCACAAGCATGTCTTTTAGTTACTAATCATATAAAAAATTGGAAAAAAAAAAAATTCACTAACCCTTATTTAGCCTTTCGCACTGTCTTCTCGAAAAATTATAGACCCACCATTGTTAGTTTACCTCGCTGACTAGAGTTTTTAATTTCAGCCAACATGGCCAGATACAGTAGAAACTCATGGATGTGTTCTAGTTTTATACACTTACAAATTCTGTTTTCATTGAGCTCCCGTAGGGATATGCATATCAATTTCACATTTGTTGCAACTGGCTGCCCGGTTTTTTCCATTCAAAAACTACTGTGCGACGCAGCCAAAGCAATGCAGTGTGCAACAATGGCCACCCTCTTGCTTTTCCACCGTTACCCCCCCCCCCCCCCCCCCCCCCACCCCACCCACCGTCTCTTTGCCTTGCGGTGCCTCTTACCAGAATACTCTTGATTCCAGCTTTCACAATCGCCCATTCGTCCTTTCATTCCTTTCTGGGACGTGCACGAGTGCTTCTGTTGCACTCCGTTCCCCTGGTTCCACCAGTTTCATTCCACATGAAGTTGGAGTTGAGAGTTTGTAGTCCCGCACCGCCCCGCCCAGAGCACTTTGAACTTCCCCGCTGTGCACCGGTGTTCTAGGAGCGGCAACTGACGTGGAGGGAGCATCTGGGTCGGCTCAACAAGCTCGTATAAGTCAACCTTTTTTTGAAAAAAATCGGTGTCTCAAATTAGAGGGGTCAACACATAGGCAAAGTCGACCTACGTGCGAGTCCGCACGCATTCTTGAGCCGAATGACAGGTTGTAGGGACCTAGGAACCTAGGGACTTTTCCCCATGTGAAGGTTTAGTTTGGTATTGTTAGCTAACGCCTGGGTGACTTTATTTTAGAAGTAGAAACTAATTTTAACATTTATTGATATGTTTGGGCGGCATAGAAATATTATATTGATAAGAAAAAGCGTTCATCATTGCCCGAGAAACTGAGTCGAGAACTCTGCGGGGGAAACGTAAGGATTTGTACCTAGGCGCCGATATAAAGGAAAGCATGGGTGAGGCACGGGTTCCTTGTCATATTATCGTTGCAGTCAGTCGCACGCACGCTCGTTGTGTAGTGCGGCAGTCGCGTTTCTCGGCTATCTCAACTCTCAACTTCCCCAGTTGACACCAACGACGGCTCCACAAGTGCGGCATCAGTACAACGCGTCTTTTACAACGTTGGAGCTCCCAGAGCGCTTGCACAGCATCTTGCTGCCCGTGCAATCCCACGTACCGCCCCAGTACGTCAGTTGCGTCGAGCACTTTCCAATTGCTCGGGATCTCGCAAATTTCTTCAGCATCAGCCTCAGAATCATCGTCATCCTCCGTCGAGTTCCCGACCACATCCTGCGCGATGAAAGCGTCGGTAACCACTTTTTTCGTGATGGCGCACGAGTCCCTGCAGAGGTAGTCCTCCACATCGTCGGGGACAATGCCGTTGCCACGGAGGGGCTGCCACGCTCCCAGAAGAGCATCTTGGTCCGTCTCATCTTCACTCGGAGTGGATGAAACTGTGGGAGCACTTCCGCCTGCTTCCCCGAGAGCGCTGGCTGTTGTTGCTGCAGGTGCTCCATTTCAGACCCAGCTTTCCAGAAACAGTTCTGGGTGGTTTTGTTCATTGCGACTTTCCAAGATGCGGAGAGCAACTCCGGTGCTTGAAAGATGCACACCTTTGTTGAACGTTTGGGCGAAGGTTAAGCGGAAGCTTATTGATCGGCCGCCGACGATACGCGCAGTTCACGCTGTTGATGACGCCCTGGTCGAGCGGCTGAATTGAGGACATAGAGTTGGCTGGGAAGAATTGCAGCCCCACGTTTGTTAGCTCGAGATCTGGTATGTGGTGCGCGGAACAGTTGTCCAGCAGTAGACACCCTCTGCGACCGTCATTCTTCATCACCTTGTCGAAGTCGTCGAGCCATCTGCGGAAGATGTTGTGGGTCATTCACACCTTTGTGTTGGATGTGTATTCGATTTCGAGGTCCCGAGCACCTTTGAGGCTTCGCGGCTTCTTGCTTTCTCCAAATGTGAACAGCATCCGCTTCTCACTCGCATCCATGTTCGCACAGAGAGGAATCGTGTTTCACACCTTGCTTTGTTTTCCTCCGTGGCATTGACCTCCTTTTAGGGCCAGTGTCCTATTTAAAAACATCTGACAAAAAAAAAAAAAAAAACAATAAAAAAACAGTCTCATCTGCATTGTGAATGTCAGCTGGTTTGTACTGCATCATGATTCCTGGCAGTTCCTTTTCGACCCAAGCGGCAGCTTGGGGCGCATCGGCTGACGTAGATTCGCCGATGCTGTCGGTGCCACGCTAATGAGCTGTGGATGTCAGTGGTGCTGCTGTTATGCCGTGGTAACGTTTTGCTTGGCAGTTTCTGTCCTCCCTGCAGGATATGTTGGGACGCCCTTTTATCGTAAAGTAACTTCCCAAGTGCTTGTGTTAGTGCACAATTTTGTTGTTTTAATCTGGAAGTTTTATTTTGAAGAAGTCTTTTAGAGGCTATTTATTTATTGCCTTCTATGGCAATGGCGCTTCGTTATATTGAAGCAGCAGCGAAACAGGCTTTGTTATATTGAGATTAAAAGTACATTGGGTTCTATGGACAAGAAGTTATAAAAAGTGAGTACTTCTTTAGACCGAGGATTTTGTTACATTGAAGTTTGTTATATCGAGGTTCCACTGTATTTGCTAAGGCCCGCTTCAGACGGGGCACCTTTTCCAGCAATTTTGAGGTTGCTGGCGGGTTGTTCCCTAGCTTTCCCTAGATCGACGCAAATTGCTGACATCGGGTCCGGCCCGAACAAGCGAGCAACTCGGAGCAATTCGAAGACGGTTGAGGCGGCTGCAGCCAATCAGAGACGCAATATTTTCACGTGACACCCCTGTGGTGGTGATGATGCCAGCTAAAGACTTAGTTCTGGTTTGGAATGGATCGTTTTCGGAAATAAACAGTTTCAGAAAAATGAGTTAGTATCCTCAACGCCGTTCAAAGATATAAGAACGCGTTTTTAGCGCATAGCTGGGCGTCTAAATAGTGAAAGAAGAATCAAATTTAATGATGATGATGGCAAGTCGGAGCAATTCAATTGCTGCGTGTGAACGCGGGCGGCCGGTGTTGCTGGTGTTGCGACGTCAAATTGCTGGGTGAAATAGACCCTTTCCGAAATTCAGTGCCATCTGGTGGTTTGTAAAGCAGTTTAGGTTTTGCCATATCAATGGCGGAAATGAACTTGTATCGGCACCATCACTTTCACAAGTCAACGGCACGCGAGGAATCTTTCAGCGTGAGTTCTTTCTCGATCACTTTGAGTTCGATGGTGACCAACAACCTGCATTCAGAACAAAGCCCCAACCCACTCAGATGCCCCGAGAAAATTCTATACACCAAAGTGCTCTAAAGCCGATTGTGTGTCGCCCACAGATTGACTGAATCTGAGTTATTAGAAATAAACGCTTATGTAGCTCGTGCGTTCCCTTCCCACGTCGTGTCGTACTGACCCCCCGAATGTACAGGCCTTTCAAGATCCGCTTAAGAGCATCTTCAACGTCTTCCTTTATCAGTCACTAGAAGGCCGCCATTGGTATAGCACAGATGCCGTTCCACAGATGATGATAGTGATCAAAGTGGCCAGACCGAATTTCGGAAAGGGTCTGTTGCTCCGTCTGAAGCGGGCCTAATGCAAGATTGTGTCTAATCGTTTGAAAATAGAGTTAAAGGAGACTTGCAAATTTTTTGTAAGACTTCGTGCAGTATTGTACACTGCAAAAATAGTACACATTCCTCGATTTGAAAGGCAATTCAGTCTGATTTTTTTCTACTATTCTGTTTTTTTATTTACTTGTCCGCCCGTTGATTGACGTAAGTCAGAAGGACGCTGACATTTGCTATGTAAGATGAGGATCACTTGTTTGTCATGCATGGTCACATTGTTATATTTTGCCTAGCTTTGATGTGACTTTGTGTGGGTTAACCTGTATATAACGTTTAAAAAAACATTTGACAAGTTAGTTGAGTTATCATGTGTGAGGCCGTTTCTGAAACTACTGAAATCATTCGATGGCCAGTTGCAATGCACCTGCAGGATTTCAATTGTCAACATATTCTCATTTTTGCATACATTTTGTTTTCTCCCATGTAGCTGCGTGAGGTGGTGAACGTCATTGTGAGAGAATTCGCCATCATGGCAGGAAGAGTTGCTGAAGTAAGTGCCTCAACTTCCTATTCTTGACGACAATTATTGCATCGGGATGTTTGCCAAGAGACAAAACCTGAAATCACTAGAACTCTCAAACTCAAGCTCTCCAAGAAAGAATGTTGCACAACTACGTGCTTTCTTTGCTGCGTCTGTGTCCTGGAGATCAGGAAAGCAACTTGGTGCTAATGGTTTTATCAATGAGTGGAGATGTGCGAATAGTCAAAAGTGCAAATCCAAACTACTATTTTTGGTGTATGATTAGACTTGCAGAGTGCTTCTGTTCATACAAGTATTAGAATTTTTTTAAGTCTGGGAATTTTACCCTACATATGCATGTAATTGTCGCACCTATGTACAAGCCACACCTCTAGCTCAGTTGTTTTCACTATCACCAAACTCAGTCTTCGCCATAGGCCATTATGCCAGCACCCTGCCCATTTTTAACTAAAGGTTGTAACTTTTGCCTTTTCGAGGTCTTCGTTAGTGATAACAATTCGATAATCGCTACCGGAAACTGCAAACAGGATTTTTGGAGATTTATTCCAGCCAACAAAGCCATAATAAATATATATTGATAGCCTAAGACCTTTTATTTTTTTCTAGTTCAATTGGGTAGTTTTGATCGAATGGCCAAGGTGGGCCTAGAAAATTAGGAGAATTGAGACGGTAATCATGGTACTAACATGGTATGCGAGTTTTTTAAGTGCTCAACTTTAACTCTGCGTTTTAAATCCGATGTCCGGGAATCCGACTGGACGAGTTTGCTCTCTCGCGAGCTCTTTCAATAAGCCGTTCGTTTTGTTGGGCTATTCTATCAAAACCGGCGGCGACTGCCCCCACCAACATTACGCAGCACGTGGAATCGGTGTTGACCGCTCGCTGGCCTCAGCTTGTGCTGACACTGGAGCCGACCTTGTCTGACAGAGCTTTATAGTCTGTGTCGTGGTCCCCAGATGGAGCTGGAGCGTGCCAAGACCCAGCTGCAGTCGATGCTGCTCATGAACCTGGAGGCAAGGCCGGTCATGTTCGAGGACATTGGGCGTCAGGTCCTGGCCAGCGGGCACCGCAAGGACGCCAGCTACTACATCTCGGAGATTGGTGAGCCTTCGTTTCGTATCCGTATCCATCGGTAACCGTCTGGGGTTGTTGTATGTTCTATGGAAGGGACCCTGAAACGATTTTTACCCTTGGGTTAACTACAACATGTACTCTGACGCTTCAAATCCACTTCGGACGGTTCGCAAAAATCGTTTTCTTAAACTTGTCGCGCTGCGATTTACTACGGAGGTGCGACTTTGTGGTGGAGGCTTGTAGTGAAAATGTTGGCGGATGAACCTTACCCAAAAAACTTCTTCAAAAAAGAAGAAAAAAAAAAAAAGATAAACTTATTTCAGGCTGTCTGCTGCAGCATTCGCAGACGCTTTCGTGACCGTGCTCGCCTACCGTATTTTCTCGAACATGAGTCGACCACGAATATACCGTATTTGCATGAATAAAACGCGAGTTTTTGTACGAAATTACATGCTCCAAAACGCACCTTGTGTTACATTTGGAATCAAGTTCAGCCACGAGGCGTGCGAGTCTGGAGAAGGCCATGGCTCCGGTTCAATGCAGGAGATAGGGTGGAAAAAGAAGTGGGGTTGTGGGAGGGAATTTATGAGCTATTGGGCCACGTGAAGAGGGGAATAGAAAACAAAAAGCATTCTTATCGCTTTTGTATTCTACAATGCACGCCAAAAAGTATGCCACAGAAATGCAGTGTGCCACGCGGGAATGCGGGCACTGGCCCATTCAAGCCAAGTCAAGCCAAGTCAACACAAGCCAAGCCAAGACCACCGACCGTGTTTACACAATCGTGCAACACGAACTGTTTGTTTATGGGGAGGGACCAGAACAAGAATAAGTGTCCAGCGGTCTTTTTTCTGCCTGCGCATTTTTAGTTCTGCTCCAGAGTGGTCTGGTGTTTGTGCGTTGGTACTTCTGCTTCGTGCCTTGCTTAGCTTGTGGGCTGCCGAGGAGCTCACCCGCAAGAAAAAGGGACTACAGTTGAAACCCGATTTTACAAACCCGATTTTATGAATTTCTCGATTTAACGAACAAGTTCGGATTTCCCCCGCAGTTGCCCATAGGCTTAATGCGTTTACGAACTCGAAATAACGAAACAAACTTTGCCGCCAAACCCGATTTAACGAAGCATTCCAGGAAAAAAGATGCATAGAAAAAGAGGTTTTTCCAAATTTATGGTGTCTAGAACGTATGGCAGTGTGCTGCCGGCGTAGGAGCGGTACAATCGACGCAGCGGATGCATTCTCGTTTTGGTTCTTACGAAACTACAAACCGAAACCGCATGGAACGACAGACTGCGCATTTCTTTCGAGGCTTTGGATCAGTTCCACCAGATGGCGAAAGCGGCGGCTGGTGCTTGATCTCGCATGCGACAGATGGCAGCACTGACGCTCTTTAGCTCATCTCCCTCCGCGCCTCCGCTTGCCTCCGCTACTCTCGCCACTACTGGTTTCCACCACCCAGTCGCCTGTGTCCTTCAGCTCTTCGCGCACTTTAGTTTTCTTTCTTCTGCTTTGCTCTGCGCATTCTGCGTCGTCGAAGGATGGTGCCTCCAAAGAAGAAAAGGAAAGTACTGACCCTTGAAGAAAAGGCGAACATAATCCGTGCTGTCGCGAGCGGACGGAAAAAATGTGACGTGGCCGCGGAACATGGCATCCCGGCGAGCACGCTTTCGACCATATTGAAGACGAAGGACGCCATCATCCTTGCGACTTCCTCTGGGAACGCATCCAAAAAAAAAACCTGAAGACGACCCCGCACGAGAAGCTGGAAGAAGCCCTTTTTATGTGGTTTAACGACATGCGAGCCCGAAACGTTCCACTCAGCGGGGAAGTGGTGCAGCAGAAAGCGCTCGGTTACGCATGTTTGCTCGGCTTTGACGAGTTCAAGGCAAGTCCCGGCTGGCTCTCGCACTTCAAAGAGCGCTGCGGGATTGTTGGCAAAGTGTCGAGCGGGGAGTCATCCAGCGTGAACAAGCAAGGAGCCGACGAGTGGTTTTCGGGGAACGTGCCGGAGATCCTGGGGAGGTACGCCGTGCAAGACGTCTACAACGCGGACGAGAGCGGTCTGTTTTATCAGATGCTGCCGGGCAAGACGCTTGCTCGGAAAGGGGAGCCTTGCCACGGCGGCAAGCAGAGTAAACAGCGACTAACACTGTTGCTGTGCGTCAACATGGATGGCAGCGATAAGCGTGATCCGCTCATCATTGGAAAGGCCCAGAATTTTCAGTGCTTCAAAGGAGCTAGAAAACTATCGGTGGAGTACGTGTGGAATACCGAAGCCTGGATGAGCCGCGCGATCTTCTCGGAGTGGCTAAAAAGCTTCAACGACGACATGGGCCGCCAAAAGAGGAATGTGTGTTTGCTGTTGGACAATTGCACGGCGCACCACATCCCGGAGCTTCACCTGAAGAATGTGGAATTGCGGTTCTTTCCCCCCAATGCGACTTCCGTCATTCAGCCCCTAGATCAGGGGATCATCAACAGTGTGAAATGCGCATATAAGTGCAGGGTCATCGAGAAGCTCCTGCTGAACTTGGAAATCGAACGTGAGACCAAGATCGACGTGTACATGGCGATCGAGATGGTGGCAGCATCGTGGAGAGCAACCCGGTCCTCGATCGTTGTTAACTGTTTCCGGCATGCTGGCTTCCACACTTCTACTTCCGAGGCTGCGTCGGGCTCCACAAGCCCGCAAGGCGAGCAGGAACAGGCATCGCCCAGTTGTTGGGAAGAGCTTCGTCGGCGTGACCAGGTGGCCGCAGATCAGGACTTCGACGACTTCGTGAACGCCGACGCAGACGCGGACATTGATACAACAGAAGTTCTCGACGATGAGGAGATAGTGCAGCGTGTTTCCGGCGCACAAGAAAAGTCTGAAGAAGCGAAATGTCCGGATGCTGTCGAAGCTCCCGTGCCCACACCAAGCCAGGTGATGGACGCTGTCGACCTTCTGAGGCGGTTTGCTGGGGCACACGAGGGTGCCGAGGACGCTTTGGCCTCACTCGCCAGCGACGAAAAGTGTGTGCGCCCGCTGCTCATGAGGCGCGCGCAGGCGAAAATTACTAGCTTTTTTCACTAGGCAATAAATTTGTCGTTCTCTCGAGGGCTGCAGGCTTTTTTTCTTATTTTTTCTACATGCGCAGGCAGTTGTGCTCTTGCTCATTCGCGGAGTTCTTGTGCGCGCATATTTTAAAAAGTTTCGGCCCGTAGACTGCGCGAATGTGATACCGCGGTAGTTAGTAAGATGCCGCTGCGCTAATACTTCAAATTTATCCAATCCTACGCCCGAAAAATGATGTTCCCGATTTTACGAAGTTCCCGATTTAACGAAATAATTCGCGGGTCCCGGTGACTTCGTTAAATCGAGGTTCAACTGTACAGACAAGCGGGGTCATGCTGCTGCAGAGTTGCGAAGTCGCCAAGTGGACTGCAAACGGAAGGGCCTGAGCATGAGGACGAGTGCAGTCAAGACATGAACTGATATTTCTTCGATTTCCATTGCCTTTTCACTTCTGCTATGCCCCTGAGTTCAGTAAACATTTCCAAAAAAAGAAAAAGTGGAGCAGGTCCTAAGAGATCGCAAGAGGCTTAAAAACCGGTCTGGTCTCTCTCGGTCTTACTCAATCACAAGAGTGTGAACGGGCCTTAAATACGGTACAGTCGAACCTCGATATATTGAACTGTGCGCTGATGGCGAAATAGTTCGATACAGCCAGAATTCAATATATTAAATCACATCAGAAACGCGTCAAAAACTTGTTAAAAGCGCGTGGCCGTCGCGCTCCGCGAAGCGCCGACAGGCGGCACATGCGCGCCGACCGACCGCAGAGGCGGGAGCAGCCGCATTAAATTGTATCTGGTGCGGCTCGTACTTGGCGAGAACCTGGGGCCACTCTGGATCAAGTCACTTCTTGATATCCTCTTCATTGGCGTTCTCACTTTCCCCCGAGACTGTCTTACTGACAATGTTAAAGCGGGCCTTAAAATGTTGCAGCCAACCGCTACTGGCATTGAAGTTCTCGGCGCCGAGAATGAATGCAGAGGTCTTGGCCTTCTGTTGTAACATCGGTCCGGATACAGGAATATTCCGGGCCCTTGCGTCGATGAACCATTTGTGCAGCGGCTTTTCAACATCTTCAAAGGCAGCTTTGCGTACACGCCGCGTGCCTGAGTGCTGGTGCTGTTCTGCCTTGGCCTTTATGTCACTCTTGTTTTTCAGTAGAGTACTCAAAGTGCTTCTTGGTAGGCCTAAAGCTTCGGCGACGCTCGACTTTTTTTCTCCATTCTCAGCCCGCTGGATAGCTTCCAGTTTTGCAGCAAATGTCAGGGACGTCCGTTTTTTAGCGTTTGGAGCCATCACTCGTGCAAGGCAACACGACACACGAAAGAACTACGATCATGCGCGTAGCACTACCGATAATACCGAGGAGGAGGAGTCGGTGCGACAAATGCAGTGCGTCGTTGACCACAGTTTGTGTCGTTGACGTTGCGACAAACTATCCAGGCAGCGGCGTGCGCGCGCCGCTACGTTCAAATGGCGCCCTCGGCGTGTGTGTAGGCAGTCGGAAGCGCCCATTGCGCCACCTCTATCTTCGAGGATGTTGCGGGAAAGCTCGCCGCCTGTCAAAAGAGCGCGGGCTGTTTGGGGTGGCAGAGTTCGATATATCCATTTTATGCCCGACCCCTGTTCGAAATAAAAAATAAAAAATGCATGCGATTTTCCGCGTGATATAGAAAGCGTTCGATATAGGCAATAATTCTATATATCCGTGTTCGATATATCGAGGTTTGACTGTAGTTGTATGTGCTGCCAAAAGATGGCCCAACGTAGGACACAGGAGTATGTGGCACCTTGACTGATTATTTCTGTACTAAAAATGGAAGGATTTAGATTTTCTATTTCTTATTTCGTTTATTTTTGTAAACATAAATGAACTACAGTTAAACCTGCTTATAACGAACCTCCATACAACGAATTCCTCGATATCACGAAGTTTTTATAATCCCCGCCGCTACTCCATAGAAGCATGT